TTGTTGCTTCTGAATGAGAGTTTCTATTTTGTCCCTTTTTTCCCACTATTTTGGCCCCATGACACTTTGGGGAGAAAGGAGGGAGACAGTGAGAGGTTTTATCTTGAAGAATTTCACCCTGGTGGAAAATACCAATGTTTTAAAATAAATATACTCCCTGAGATATCACATTACCCTGCTGAGCTCATGCATAGCAGAGATAAAATGGCTTTTTTAGAACTGATTTTTCTTTCCCCAGCAGCTGAATGGAATACCAAAGTACACAATTTAAAGTAACTGTTAGAAAAAAGGTTTTACACAATGTTATCAACAGAAAGGAGCTGAAAATTAAATTGAAATTATTACTGGGGAACTCATTTCCTTTGCTACAGGGAGGTTAACAACAATCATAAAAAATAATTTAGAAGTGAAAGCTGAGATTCTTCCTTTGATGTCTGAATATTGTCAGTTTATGTTGCTTTAAAATAAAGGGCCACATCATAAATTAAATGTGATGCTTAATTTTTATTTCCTCTCCACTCAAATAGCATGTTTTCCTTTAGGTGGTTATTAAAATAATGATTCACCTCTCCAGCTGCTGTCTACTGGCAGGTTCTGGTTTAGGCAGTTGGAGCAGCATGGGCTGAGTGAGACTTGGGTTCCAGACAGACAGAATCCAGTTGCTTCTTGGAATAGAGGTTAAGGGTTTTTTTAATTTAACATGAGAAAATGTAGAATGAGAAAGAGGCTGTGCCCTTCAGCATTGCTGCTGGTTTGTCTTAATTGAGCATCTCCTGTGATACTCAGTTTGCTTAGCCAAGCTTTCAAACCACTTGAGCTTTGGATTCAACATCCTTGGTTTGATGAGAAATCTCAGGCTAAGTGATTGACCCAACTCTGGGGTGCTGCACATTGGTTGCACTGGGGTCCTGGGTGGTTTTAAGGACTAGTGCATCACCCACTACCCACAGTAACCCTTAGGTGCAGTTGCAGATTGAGCTTCACTGAAGCTGCAGAGCCCAAGTACCCTCCCCATGTTAGCATGGACCCAGGCTTTGTTCAGGCCAGGCACATATGGGCAGAGTCTTGGTAGATCCCAACCTACTAGTGGCTGTCCCAAGACCTTGCCTTTCCTGTCTGCCTGGGTAGCAAAGATCATGGTGGGGTGCAGGATGGAGCTTGGTCTTCCCTAGAATTCCCCTACAATTACACAATCACATAACCATAGATTTACAGAATCACAGAATCATAAAATTGTAGAATCACAGAGTGGTAGGGGTTGGAAGGGACCTCTTGAGATCCACTGGGCTACATGCCAAGAAGCTGTGAGACCAACCAAGCTCCTCTGGAAGAACCTTGGACATCGTTGCAGCAGAGCTGAAATCCAGACAGTCACTCCCTGTGACCTGCACTCGTCCTGATGTGTTTATCAGCCTGAGGTTTGGTTCTGTGAGTGCCAACAAGTAGGAATTTGTGCATCTGTCAAGTGAAGAAGCAAGACTAGGGAAGGAGCAGTTGGGTGCTGAGGACTCCCAAAACCTAGACTGATGCAGGTGGTTCTGATGACGTTCTGAGGTCAGACCCTGATGTTTGCAGGTGCTATAGTCTTTCAGCAGTGCTGGGATCTCATGGGGCTCCTGAAGAGGATTGGGCCTTCAGTGAATGAAAAACCAAACCTGGCAAACCCTATCAACTGTGCCATAAAATGAACATATACCGGAGGAGTGGAAATTAAAAAGAAGCAAACAAAAAAGAGAGACAAGATGTGTAGGGAGGTGCTGGGTTTGGCCAAAGCAAAGGCGTATCTCTGTGAGTACCTGGGCTCCTGCTCACTTCCGTGGGGGTGTTTGGCTTGCAGCCCTCACCAGCTCCTCTCTCTGATGGCTGCCACCACAGGAGCAGTGAGCTTGTTGCTCACCACGTTGCTCTTCATACAGCACAGGCACAGCTGGGAGGGTTTGCAGGCTGTGGCACTGGTGAGACACCCTGCATGCATCTTTGTGGTGGCTCGTACCTCCCCATCTCTCCCCAACCTCAATGGGTTTATTTGGTTTTGAAGCTGAAGACACCTTGCAGAGAGAAACAGACACTTCTTCCTGTGGTTTGCATCAAAAGCCCTGCAGTAAACCTGACACTGTGTCTGCTCTAGCAGACATCATCCTCTACAAGTCACTCATGTTTAGCTGCTTTAGCTACACAGGACCACAGCTGGAGTGCAGAGCCCTGCATATGGTCAGAGAACCCTGTTGCTCTCCAACCACAAGAGGTGATTCAGCACCTTCCTTCCTTAGTTGACATTCTTGAGGTGTCCCTGCACAAACCTCTGTGCTGTGGCAAAGAAAAATAAAAGTGGAGTCTGGTTTGGATTGGAAGGGACCTTAAAGATCATGTAGTTCCAATTCCCCTGCCATGGGCAGGGACACCTCCTGTTAGACCAGGTTGCTCCAAGCCCCATGCCTGGCCTTGAATACTTCCAGGGATCCACAACTTCTCCGGGCAACCTGGGCCACTGTCTCATCACCCTCACGCTCAATAATTTCTTCCTAATAACTAATCTCAATCTCCCCTCTTTCAATTTGAAACCCCTACTCCTTGTCATGCCCTTGTAAAAAGTCCTTCCACAGCTTTCCTGGAGCCCACAGGTAAAGCCCACAACCCTAACAGTCATTTGGACTGGGATACTGACAATCTCCAAATGCTTAGAACTGTAATCTCTAGTCTGGATTGGGCCATCTAGACTATGTCTGTAGCATGTGGACAAAGTCAAGACCCTCAGGACTTTGCTGATCCAGCCTCATTCAGGTGTCAAAGGAAAATGGCCTGAGTTATTCTCTAATAGCAATGACTTCTGCTCATCTGTCTCTGCAACCCCTTTGAGATGGCAGACCACATTTACAGGTCTGTCACTATCTGGCAGTGAAAACGAAGATCTTCCTCTCTTGGCTACCTCTGCACAGCTCCAAATCCTTGTTTTAGTTACTCATCTGTGGAGTAGTTACAGCTGTTGAAATGTTTGCCGATCCTGTCTGTTTATGGGTTGAAATTCCCCTGAGGAACATCCCCCAGAAAGCACAGAGCCATTTTAGTGGCTTCTCTACAAGCACCTCTGTTCTTTGTCCTTGTTTAATCACTTCAATGTCCATTTTTCCAATTGTACACAACATTTTATTAAACTGTACAAACAGCTCTGGCATTAAAAAAAATCATATTAACTCTTATAGTTAAACATGATGACCAGCTGTACAAACTGTGAGCACAGATACCTCTTGTGTTTCATACAGCACAAACATGGATTGTGTGAGAGTCACTGAACTGAAACCTTTCTCAGGGCATTTCGCTTTTCTTGTCAACATTAGGTGCTTCTGCTCTTGGTCTGTCAGGACTTGGTGTTGGCAATCACTGCCAGCAGGATCCCAACACTGCCTGCAAGACTGCATTCATCCTGTTGGGAGGTCCAAGTTGACAGCCTGGTCCAGCAGAGACAGAAAGGCACCTCTGAAAGGAACCTGATTTTGGGAAGACTCACCCTCCAGAGCTTCCCTTCTCCGTGGACTTGAGGGATTGATACAGTGAAGCTCAACTAAATTAGAGCCTAACACCAACTTGGGTGACTGCCTAAGTCACAGAATCCTCTCTTTGGGCTTTGACTTAATTTTCGATCATAGAATGACAGAGTACAAGGTTGGAAGGAACCTCAAGGTTCATCAGGTCCAACCGTTCTTTGCAAAAGCAATTTTGACCCCTGTATTTAACTGTTGTCTCAGTGACAACAGTAACTGGGTGGTTCTTCGTCTCTTCAACCTCAGAAAAGTGTGCATCATTGTTTAGAATCACTGAATGGTTTGGATTAGGAGGGAACTTAAAGATCATCTAGTTCCAACTCCCCTGCTATGGGCATGGACACCTTCCACTAGACCAGGTTGCTCAAAGCCCCATTCAACCTGGCCTTGAACATTTCCAGGGAGGGGACATTCCTCCCCTAGAAGTTTAAAAGGATCCCATAATGAAAGGATGACAGAAAAGATGTTTCTATAACCCATCTACATTGCCACAGACTGCAAAGGGATAGTACACACAGCAAAATGTCAGGAGGTAAAGGAAAATACCACCCCCACCCCATGTCCTGTCCTGCTCCGTGACCTCTGGGTACAGCTTGTTGACCTATGTCTGCCAAAGTGTTGGGACATCATCTAGAGCAATACAAAGTATATCAGCCTTTGCAAAGACTGGTTACTCCTTTTAAGCAATACATGCCAATGCTGTGACTGGAAGGCCAGTTTGACAACGCTTAAACAATTGTTTGAGGAAACCTCTTTCAACTTTCTTATGCAGAAAAACTTCAGAAAGCCCAGTCCAGATTTTGCTCTGAGTTGGGTGTGCAAGGACAGTTAAAGCTTTAGAGCAGGGATTCTTAAGGTTTCTTAAGGCCTGCAACTTCCCATCCTTCCTGCTCAGGTACTAAATGTAAACCACTGGTTTTCTTGACACTTGCCATGGCAACATTCTTCCTTCAGGGTTGACTCCTTAGCTCCAGGGCCTCAGATTGAGGTGTACAGATGCTGCGATGGGCACCTGCAAAGTCTTTTTGTCCCAGTGGAGCAAAATTGAATCCAAACACCTCTGAACATTATTTTTAAAGTGTGTAGGGACTGAAATAGCTTCTTCAAAACTCCTGTGCACACATTCACAACTCTGCATGTGCACAAGTGGAGGTTATCAAAGCACCGAGCCTGAAGTCTTCCCAGATGCCCTCAGGCCTTGAGAAAACCACTTGTCCACTTGTAGGAGGAGGGTCTAGGTGAGAATTGCAGAAGTGGACAATGACATCACCGGAAGTTCAAATACACTTCTTTTTTTCTTCTTCTTTTCTCTTTTCTTCTTACAGAGAAACCCATTGTCTGTGTGCGCAAGTAATGGGGAACAGGTTTTGGCACCTCCTCATTTTTGGATGCTCTCAAGTTCAAGAATATTGGGAAAAGAAGGAAGAGAGACCAAAAGATAACATGAAGAAACTTCATCATTAGTGAAGAGTGGCTGGCACCTGCTACAGACTGGAATAAAGCTGGACAAGGTAAAAAACTTTCACTGAGGTGTTTTTCTGGTGGGTTCTTGATAAAAATAAACATGCACAGTCATCAGTCGACAAAGTGTTACTCAAACCATTACAGAGAGTTTCTTCAGGAAGGCAGATCTCAGGAAAATATTTTCTCCATTTTAGGGTTCACAAAAGAGAAGTTGCTGAACATATTTTGGTCCATGCTGTTAATCAGTGCTCTGTCTGCACAGGACAGTCTAGGCTTTTCGTTTAGAAATTCCTTGTCGAAGTTGCTACAGTCACTCGGAGATTTCTTCAAGAAAAAGGAAGAAAAAAACAGGTGGTGTCAAACCACTGATACTCAGATCTTGATTACAGTGGTACTGGCCCTACCAAGCTGGTTCCTAGAGGCTTAGCTCAAATAGTTGGGAGAAAGCTCAGCTCAGCCAGGGAACCTGCACTGCCTTTGCTCTTGGCCTTTTGTACAATGATTAGTGACTCCAGCCCAAGCAATGCACAACACCACATCAAACTGCAGTGTACTTCTGTCTGACCTCTTAATATCCAGCAGCCAGTGCTAATCACTTGCATATTACTACCCTGTTGAAGTAGCAATGGGAATAAACATTATGTAGGAGACACTGAGCCTGTGATTCAAGAATTTTACGAGGCAGGGATGTTAAAGCCATGTAACATGGCTGGACCCATCAATTAAATAAGATTTATGAAGGACTGTATCATGCAGGTGTCAAATTAAAATTATTAATTACAGGATTTTAATAGCTTAATAGAACTGTTATTGATAGTTGGGACCGTCCTAACTTAGTTGACCAGCTGGCTACCTGAACTGCTTTTCCTTCTTTGCCTTCTGCAGTGCAATGAAAGATGATCCCCACAGAATGAGCTGTACTTGTGTGACTAAGGGAAGGTGTTTCAAGTGGCATCCAGACCCCTGCTGTGGTAACTGAGAAACTGATAAGTTATTTACGGTTTCTCAGGTCTGGGCATGCTAAACTTGGGCTTATATCCATTAGAAAGGAGTAGTCATGATGACCAAGCCAAGCAGCCCAGCCAACAGAGGTACATAGTTCATGATTATATTTTCAATGACTGGACACTGTAGCAGATCCAAACTGTAGATGGTTTCAACTGCTTGTGGCTGATGTACTCAACATACCAGACAGTGTGTGGATAGTTTAATCTGAATTTGAACACTTAAATAAGAGCCAATATCTTACATTCTGACAGCCCAAGACCAAGATACTCCATCTGCTCTTAGACAGAGAGGCTGCATGGGTAGAGCAACTCCAGAAGATAACCACAAAATACTAAGGGTATTTTGAAAGCCTTACTTTGATGCCTAAAAACATTAGTTCCAGTGTCTAGCAGACACTTATTCACCTTTAAAATGCTGTCTCATGAATCTAAACAGACCTCAAGGTGTCTGACATTTAAGACCCATGTCTGAAGGATTTGGACAGTGCCCCTAAATAAACGGGTTTATAGCACTACTGTGGGTCCTGGCTTTGGTTTATTGCTAGATTATGCCAGAGTGTTTAAATATTTGGGGAATGAATGGTTTGGGAAATAAAGACATGAGATGGGTAGAAATGAAAGAAGATGCATCCTTACCACTCTGGGTTTGAATGGAGGCTCCATCCTTCTTTCTTCTAAAGCCTCCCAGTTTATTTCCTGGAAAAAGGCATGTTGGCGGATGTTCCCTCTTGCTCCCAGTCTCCTCTCAGGTTCTCTCACAAAAAGCTAGAAAGTTGAAGAAAGAGAAATCCCACTTTTATCAATAACAATGTGTTTATTAGGAGAGTCCTACCAGATAGGCTCTCAGACTTCAAACTCGAGCATAGTTGGTGAGACTGTGTAAAGTAACTTAATTTCTGACTGGGGAACCAGTTTGGATTCTTAGTGAACCAGTTTGGTTTCTTAGTGAACCAGCTTGGATTCTTAGTCTAACATGCCAAAACTGAGTCCGAGGCCATATTTTTATTTTGCAGGACACAGAGGACAAATGTGTTATAGTGGCAACAACATATGTGGCTGAGCATGTCAATGTGCAACTTCACAGGTGAAATACCTGGATCACACTTGCAAGCTTTTGCCTGGACAATTTCTTGTTATCAGGAATTTTTTATAACAGTTTAAATATAAGAATAAGAGTGATATCTAAAGATCTAAGCTGTGCTGCATGCAGAACAGACACTAAAACCATCTCCTGATCTTTTTTTTTTTTTTGTAGTACAATGTTAATGCTGTTCTGTCACTTTGGAAATGCAAAAGCCAAGGTAGGGACTGTAGCTCAAATATGAGCAAATCTTGTGACGAACAAGTTATCACACATCAGCTGAGCCATTATATCCCTCTGTCCATTCTCGCTCACCATCCTCCACTGCAAGGTAGGATGTATTAGCTTAAATCATGTCAGTCCAAAGCCCGACTGAGGGGTTGTAACTTGTTAGAGTAGTTGTGACTTCATTGCATTTTTACCTTTAGAATAATTTGCATCCCAAAACAGAAATGCAAGGAGGCAGGAAAAAAAAAAAAAAAAGAAAAAGGTTTATTACTGGAAGTGAACCTAAAAGATGAGGAGGATGCCCATTACAGGGAAGCTCTAGAGAGTGTTCCACCCACAAAGGACACTATGCATTGCTATATAGGAGATTAAGAGGGCCAAAATTCCAGATGGCATTGTGCTATTAGCTTCAGTGGGCCCTGCCACTTCAAGACACAGCTCAGGCTTTGTTAACCTGCTCTCTAGCTCAGTGTAAAGTTGTAAAATATTCTCTAATGAAAATCAAGCTGAACACCACAGCAATCTATCTCAGATGTCCTCATATTTCTGAGGCACAAGACTCATCATTTCCAAGGAAGTCACTGGAACTCTTGGTCTGAAGCCTGGCAGAATAGCTTTTCCAGGAGTTAACATGGCTTGCATCTGAAGGATTGTTGTGCAAAGAAATGTCTGATCCCTGCTTGTGTCTGACACCCTGTGATGCTGCTTACTGGATGTGGAGCCATCATCACAGCTCAGGTGGAAGAAGACACAAAGATGACCTTATGACTTAGGTCGGGTGTGATTTGAGGTCCAAGAAAATGACTCCTTCTGGTCCTAACACATTACAGATGTTTCTCTGAACAGTTGGAGGTGCACAAATCAAAGTTCTGGCAAAGACTTTCATTCACTGAGTGGTAATTCTCACCTTTACCAAAATGTCCTTTGCATCCTTGTCAAGCCAGCGAGGGTAGAATGGGTTGTCCATACGGATAGACTGGAAAAGCTCCTCTTCATCTTGGCCATGGAAAGGAGACTGGCCAATAAGCATCTCGTACAGGAGGACGCCAAAGGACCACCAGTCAACAGAGGTGTTGTACTTCTGCCCCAGTAATATCTGCCCAAAGAGAGGAGTGAAAAAGACAGAGGCAAAATGTCTGACATCATTATTTCAACTTCAGAAGGGTGACTAGACCTTGACCTTTCAACTGCCTCTTTGCACTGTGTTGGGACAGCAGAGGTGCTTCCTCCTGCCTGCAGCACAAGCCAGAGCATCTGCCAGAGGTGCAGGGAGACCTAAAGCACAGAAAGTGAGGCAAGACATTTTTTTACTTTTCTCTGAATTATCCCAAGAGTTGAAACTTGGCTTATGAACTCCAAGAAGACAACAGGTTAGGCAGTAGCTTTTTGGGACTGATTTAACTCACACAAGTTGCACTTTAAAATTACAAGTTTGACAGTGTAAGGGCACCTTAGGACTATCAGTCAGTGAAAATAGTGTGAACTTATCCCAGAAAAATCTGCTCCAGAAAAAGCATGATGAAGTGGTTGCTGCTCTGTCCCTCTTGAGGCCAACAGAGTTATAGGTAGAATGTGAGTTTGTCCTCAGCCCAGTCCATTGCTTTGTGCCTTTCTGTGTCATCTATTAAGTGAAGGCTAAATCCAGTGTGTGGGGGACAGGGAGGGTTGGATGGAGCGATGAACCCCCCTAAGAGGGGATGTGGCATTTTCCTCCCTTACACACTTGGCCAGACACCACCAAATTCTCAAATTTCCCCTTTGGGGAAGCAAAATTACACTTGCCTGCCTTCATATATGTGTTCTGGAGATACCTAGAGCTGAACCAGTTACCATGAGCTTCTTTTAAAGTCAAGGAAGAGAATTAGTTCAATTTTAGACATCCAGAAAGTTATCTACTTGTTGCAAACTACAACCCCCTATTTGTCTCCTTTGGTTATCAAGGAGCCTAGACAACTTGCTCATATCTAGATATTTACTTCACAGATATCTAAAGCTACATGTGATGAATGTGATGTATAGGGTCCTTCTCAGGATTTTAGACTTGAAGATGGGAACAGTTAATTTTAAGGCTCAATCTTTACTCTTGAGCCCACAGCTTGGTTGCAATGTGAGCCCCCATACTATAGCTGAGGTGTAGACATCAATGACAAGCCCTGGAGATGGCTTAATACTGGTGAAAACATCTACCCAGATCAGTACACATGAAACTGTTGATAGTTGAAAAATTACAATTTAGAGAGGCTGTCTCCAAAAATGGCAAAAGTGGAGATTCAAAAAAGGCAAAAAGGCTGTTTGGATATAAACCACAATATGTGTTCCACTCAGAGACAAAGAAAAAGAATCTATTTCTTCTGGTTTACTTTTAAATAAATTCATCCCAACCTTTCCTTCTGAAAAGACACATTCTTTTTATAAAGCTTTACCTTTTAAAGTATAAAATATCCAGAAACTGAAATTATATGTTTCATGTTGGTAAAAGAAAAGATTTATTAGCTTTGCAGTTCTCTGGAAAAAAAATAAATGAAGTCAGCAATTTCATTTCAGGGTAACTTGTTGAATTTTTATTTTTTTTATTTTTTTGTGTGTGTCAAATATTTTTTGAAATTAAAAAATTGCTTGTCTACTGACCCAGAGCCCCCTTATTTCCACAGCTGTAGCCAAGGTGCTGGGTCTGTAACAAATTAAAGCATCAGCAGCTGCACTGAAATACTGACAGAAAGTCCAGTGCTCCTGCTTCTGACAGGAGAGATGATCCATAAACTCAAGCAGTGCTTTCAATTTAGAGGTAAAATGTTTTATATGCACCCATTGAATCTCTAAAATAAATGAAGGTGCAGAAATAAAACTCTGAGATATTTTAGTCTTTCTCTTTTCTAGGAAGTAAAATCAGATAATGGATCATCACAGAATCATTAAGGTTGGAAGGGACCTTAAGGATCATCAAGTTCCAACCCTCTTGCCATGAGCAGGGAACCACTAGATCAGGTTGCACAAAACCTTGTCCAACCTGGCCTTAAAAACCTCCATGGATGGGGCATCAACAACCTCCTTGGGCAACCCATTCCAGCTCCTCACCACACTTAGAGTGAAGAATTTCTTCCTAATATCTAACCTAAATCTCTCCTCTCTCAATTTAAAACCATCACCCCTTGTCCTATCACTGTCTTCTCAAATGAAAAGCCCCTCCCCAGCTTTCCTGTAGGCCCCTTTCAAGTACTGGAAGGTATAAAGTCTCCTCAGAGCCTTCTCTAGTCTGAACAGCCCAAATTTTCTTTGCCTTGGCTCTCTTATTTTTATTTTTGGATCAGAAAATAGCTTTCTTTTTTAAACAAATAAAAGCATATTGATGTGGAATAAAAGACAATTGCAGCTTGATTGCAGGACACACCTACACCTGCTCTTGGGCAATACAAATCCAATGGATTTGAAGAGCCCAGCCCTTGTGTCAGCAGTGCTGTGACCCAGGTTAGAATCGAGCCCTTGGTGCACTGTAAAAGATCAATGAGTTACAGTAGAGGGTAAAAAAAAACAACCAAACAACAAAAAACAAAGCACCAAAAGCCTGAAAAGCTATTTGGAGAGCCCCAATATCCATCATGAAAACACTTAAATCAGGAAATGGGATCTTGAAAGGCAAATAAATGGATTTCAGAGTGATGTTGGACACGATGCGTGGATGACTTGTGGGTTTTGCTCTGAGCTGAAAAATGTTTTCTTTGGCCCCAATTTGCCACCTAATTAGTCAAAGCCTCTTCATAGTAAGATCTATCATTGTGTGAAGTCATCAGTTTAAGGGAGCTTTCTGTTTTCTTTAGGGATCTAGTCCAAAGTATCTACATTTACTAGGAGGGGGAAAAAAAAGGTTCTGTCTGGGCAAAGAAATGAAAAGGAATAAGGGGGAGGGCAAAAGTTCTTCCTGTGGGCAGGCTGGAATTTTGTGTCTGTGACCACCCAATTTATTGAGTGGGCAAACTGAGGCCAGGTTCAGCTTTTCTCTACAAAGTGTCAGCACCCATCAGCTGCAGAAGGAGAAAAGGAACTGTTGGTATGTTTTAGCATGGAGTGTGGAGACTCTCCATGTAAGCCCCAGCCTTCCTGAGCCAAGGGGATGGAGAAGGACCTTAACACATGCTGTAAGCTCTGTCTTGCTACTGTTAGCTCAAGTACAGTCTGACCCTGAATCAACTCCTTCATCTCCTTCATCAGGAGACAACTGGTGGAGGCATGTCCTCCAGGAATGGGTTCATGCTCTGGCACCATGCACTGCCAAAGCAGAGAAGCAGATAGTCCAGAGTTAGCAGGTTGGGTCCCAGCTGTCCTCTGGACAGCAGCACCTCTCCTCCAACTGCTGGCACTTTGAGGGGAAAAATCAGGGTGTACGACCACTGTCATGCTTATTTCTTCAAGCATCTCCACCTCTTTTACAAGCAACTCTTGGTTGCATTTTATGCCTTTCCAGAGTATATAGTGTCTTACTCAGCTCTGGCAGGATGCTCATGATGCAGGCTGTGATTGCAGCCAGCTAAGAACCTGTCTGAGCAAGAAAGAAGCCCAAGCTTATGGGTGCCATCCTTATTCAAGAATCAGAGCATATCCCAGAGGGAAGGTGAACCCCAGTCTCTGCTGTATCATGGTCCCAGCCTCTCTTCTCTATCTGAAAGATGGTTAATCAATGAGGAGGGAGAATCAGCTCCAGGTGGGCATTTTGTCCATGACTCCCCACCAAGGAGCCTGTACAGCCATGGGACCCTACTATCAGCTAACTAGGGAACATGCTTCCCATTCCTTGTGCTATTTCTGTCCCTGAATTATGAGACCTACACCTTGGAGCTTCTTCTGCCATGTCCCAAACTGGATTTCCACTAGCCATTCTGTTTCCTGGCTAACAAACCAAGCACCACTTGCTTCCCAGACACAGCTGCACAAAAAAATGAATTAGCCACAAAAACAGGCAATGCCAGGCAGCAAAGCAGACTCTGAGCCAAACTGAAATTGAGTTTCTAGCCAGGAACTGCTTAAAAGCAGGTTATTACTCTTTGCACCCTCCACCACAGACAGATAGTCATGTCTGAAGATACATTCTCTGTCCCACAGCAGCTTGCTCACCTCCTTGGATCCTACACCTACCTCAGGAGCAATATAGTCAGGAGTCCCACAGAAAGTACTTGTCTTTGCATCACCAAACATGTTCTCCTTGCACATCCCAAAGTCAGCAATTTTGATGTGCCCCTCGTTGTCCAAGAGTACGTTGTCTAGCTTCAAGTCTCTGTGGAGGAAGAGAAGGAAACCTCTCCTTTAAGGTGTTACAGAGCCACTCAAGTTATTTTAGCAGGTTACACTTACTGACTTGCTATTTGCCTCTATGTAGTGTCTCATGTTGTACTAACAAAGGAAGTCCAAGGGCTGAAGGAAGAGCTGCTCTCTTGGACTTCAAGTTCCCTTTTTCTCCTTCCTCCTGTCCCAGCACTAATTCATTTGCTGGAGAAGACTTCACACAAAACACCTTCTAAAAGCTACCTCCTTTGAGGATGCAGAACAGTGAAGGTAAAAGGGGCTTTGCACCATCTGGAGCTTCTGTGCTAACAGCCTGGAGAAGGTGAGCAAGAAGGAAACAGTTAATGCTCACTTTCTGTTTCCCTGGGATTTTCAGTACTGTCTCCAAAGCTGCTGCCAGCTCTCCCTCCTCGTGCAGGCTCTACAAATGTTGGAATAGGTAAAGACTCACAAGCCCTGCACGGCTTGCAGAGGGTCAAAATAATCCCAGACACCAGCAGGACACCCACCACCTTCTCACTGCTGGGCTGCACTATCTGAGCCCTGGGGATTTACAGATCCCTTCACACTCAGCTGCCAAGCTGTTGTCAGAGGTTTCAAGCTCTGAGCTACTGTGGGAAGCAAAGAGCCCAGAGGGAGGAAAAAAAAGAAATTCACAGAGCAGGAAATAAAAACAAGTGAGCTGGTGAATATTTGCCATTGACTGAAAACAAAGAGGCCCTCACGTGGGAACAAGTTCTGAAAGGAGAGAAAAGCATGTAAAGAAAGGGAGAAAAGGCAGAAAGAAAGGAAGGCTGGCATGGCTTCTACAGTAGATTTTTTTATTTCTTATCTAAAAGTCTTGCTTTTCATTGAAATAATGACTCAGGGAGATGTTCAGATCAGTGATGCTGCACTTCACCAGGGATGTAGGAAGAATCTGGGTTACCTGGTGTCAGAGCACCCATGTTCCTGCACTGCCCATCCTGTGCCATCTCTGCTTCTTCCCAGGGATCCCAAAGCACCCAGACCCAGCATTTGCTTATGCCACAGCCAAGGATACAATTAGCCTTTTCCAGCCTCTGCTGATTCACACCCTACACACATTTTCCACATCTTAGGCAAGAGTATTAACCACAAGGCTGCTGTACAGCTTCCCTCCTGGTGACAAATGTTTCACTACGTGCTTTTTCTATCAAAAATGGCTTTGACTCTCTCAAAGAAGGCAATTTCTAATGCATGATGCTCCTGAAATGATCACAGTTGCAGGAATAATGGCTGTTCAGCCTCCCTCTGTGCACATCTCCTCATCTTGCTTTGGCCAGGCCCCAGTCAGGGTGGAGGAACCTGGTAGTATCTCCACATTAAATTCTTGTCATGGGGCAATTGTTGGTTGCTGCTAGAATATGGGTCACGTGGGAGCCATCAATCAAAAAGAAATATAGAGACAACCAAGACATTTGTCTTCCAAGTGGCAGACACTCATGTTGTCACAATTTCCAGCTGGAATGACTTATTTTAGTTACACCACTGAGATCAATCTCTGGCTGCCAGCACTGCTTTTATTCATCTGGTAGATCGAAGCAACACAAAAAACCCATCACCTTCAGTTTGCTTTCATTATTTTGATGAGTCTCAAACTCATTGGCTCCAGGGATTGGACTTGCTGCCAAAAATGCCTCGGCTCATTCATTAAAATTTAAGCCAACATTTCCAAACGTGGGTGCATGAGACAGAACAGCTGGATCCATTATTCTTACTACATCGCAAGTGATGTAGTTTCAAAAATGATTTCTATTCACTTGCCTAAGTGCTTAGTTAGCTCTGAGCTGCTGGTGGCTGTGTGTTCTCAGCTGGCCTCATTGTCATTGTCTTCCATGGTAGTTTCAAAAATGATTTCTATTCACTTGCCTAAGTGCTTAGTTAGCTCTGAGCTGCTGGTGGCTGTGTGTTCTCAGCTGGCCTCATTGTCATTGTCTTCCATGAAAAAAAAAAAAAAAAAAGGGAAAAGGAGTAGGACTGGTTAAATCATTTCCCTCCAAGCTTGATACTAAAAGCAATGCCTCACATCTCCTGGCCATGAGCTATTTCTTCCTATCACCATGTCTAGCTATCCCAATTTTCCCACATTTCCCAAGGCTCCAGGCTCTAAACACCTCTCTCCTCTCATAAAGAAATGGGTCCCAAACCCTGACACACCATTGGTGTAGCAATTCCAGATAAAAATGGGAATTATAAACCAAATGTCAGCATTAGCACTTTGGCCACAAACTCACAATGTCCTGTTGCCTTGATGAGCTTTCTCATTTATTTCTGACAAGCTATTTGCTTCCTGCTTTTACAGAAGGCTGCAATGTAGAAACTAACTTTGGCCATGAAGATGAGTTGGTCTAGACTTCCCCCGGAATTCAAGTCCTCCTTTTTTGCCATGGGAAGGCAAACTGTGGCCTGATTTCTGCAGCCCTTCTTGCTCCCATCTTGTCTGTGTGCTTTCATATAGGTCTGAAGCACAACACTTGTACTTCAGGGCAAAGCATGTGTGCATAATGTTGAAGCTCCCAGGGAAGTCAAGCAGAATCTGGAATGGGTGATTTTGTAGCAGAGGACTTCTCCTCCTCAGGATTTGATAGATGGATGCAATGTGGACTAAGTTCATACCAATCACTTTGGAAGAGAACACTTCTGTCTGAGTGCAGCTGTCTGCAGTGTCCCATCTAGTCCCCATCATCTCCCTGCAGAGCCCACTGCTAGAAATGAGCACTTCTCAGACACCATCCCTGGAGGTATTCAAAAGACATATAGATGTGGCACTCAGGGACATGGTTTAGTGGTGGACTTGACAGTGTTGGGCTAACAGTTGGACTTGATCTTAAAGGTCTTTCCCAATCAAAATTATTCTATGATCCTATCAAAAGTTTGATGCACCTGAAAAACCCCACTCCTTTCTGCTTACTCCAAGAAGAGCTCGAGTGGCCAGGGTAACCAGCACAGCAGATAAACCAAATTTCTCAGAGCTATCTTGACCTTATACACCTTCATAGATGGAAAGTTTAAAGCATGTGCCTGTGCTATATGAATAACTCAGTATAAAGCCATCAAAGTGCTTGTTTTAATGTCACATGAAAAAGGACTAGATTCTCAAAAAGAGCTCAAAACTGTCTGTTTTATACTATCTCTTAAAAAAAACAAAAAACAAACACCAGCCAGACCCAGTAAAAAGGAAATCTGCATAGAGATGCAATACCAGTAAGTACATCCAAGCAACAATCTCTGTTACCATTAGTGCTAGCAGGAAAAGCAGAAAAGTTCTCACACATTAGGTACTAAAGAGTAAAATTACCTGTATATTATGCCCTTGGAATGGAGGAACTGAAGCCCACATATGATTTCAGCAGCATAAAACCTGAGTGACAGAAGGCACAAGTTAGAATGGGTCCTTCCCCAAAAGATGGAAACTTTGTCTCCACAGTACCCAAAAGTTTCTTGAGTTCCCAGAAGCCTTGGAGAGTCTCTAGAATGTTTGGGGTAACATGGTTTTACAGGTAACTGATGGATGATGTAAGATTCCCAAGAAAATGCCACATGGTTAGCAGCCCAACTCCCACTGAAACCACTTTGTGAAATGTTAGGGGAGTCTACTCATCCTCAGGAATTTGGAAGCCACACTGCATGGGAGCTGCATTTTTTGTATAGGTAACTCTGTGGACATACCCTTTAGTGCCCAAGGCTGTCTCCAGATCAGCTATGGAGCAAAAAAAAAACCCACCAAGCTCCTATTGCCTATCCTGTCTCACCTCGAGATATGGTCCCTGTCAGAAGGAAAGCATAGAATGGTTTGGGTTGGATGGGGCCTTTCAAGATCATCTTGGCCAACCCCCTGCAATGAGGAGGGACACCTTCAACTAGCTCAGGTTGCCCTGAGCCCCACCCAAACTGACCTTGAACATTTCCAGGGATGGGGCTTCTACCACCTCTCTGGGCAATCCGGGCCACTGTTTCACCACCCTAATTGTAAAAAACTTCTTCCTTCTATCTAGTCTAAATCTCCCCTTTTAGTTTTAAACCAACATTCCTCATCCTGTCACAACAAGTCAGGTGGTGTTTCTGCCTTTCCTTTATTTACATATTAAAAGTAAATCAGTGACTTACAGTGATGGGTCAGCCTGCAAACTGCACATTACAGTTACTCAGACCTTAAAAGAGCAGCTATCATCTGCCATGCTCAATAGCTGCTGCACAGTGGAGTGGTCCTGGTAAGGGGAAAGGCAGGCAAGCATCTGGGTGTGGGCACCACAGTCTCCTTGGCTTGACAAGCAGAGCTTTTCATTGTTTAGATTTCTCATAGAATCATAGACTGGTTTGGATTGGAAGGGACCTTAAAGGTCATGTAGTTCCAACACCTCTTCATGGGCAGGGACACCTCCCACTAGACCAGGTTGCTCCAAGCCCCATCCATCCTGGTCTTGAACACTTGCAGGGATGGGGCAGCCACAGCTTCTCTGGGCAACCTGGGTCAGGGTCTCACCACCCTCATTGTGAAGAATTTCCTCCTAATGTCTAACCTAAATCTCCCCTCTTCCAGTTTAAAGCCATTATCCCTTGTCCTATCACTACAAGCCCCTGTAAAAATTTCCTCTCCTGCTTCCTGTAACACCTTCAGGCACTGGAAGATGCTCTAGGGTGTCCCTGGAGCCTTCTCCTCTCCAGAATGAACAACCCCAACTCTCTCAGCCTGTCTCCAGAGCAGAGTTGCTCTAGCCCTGTCATCATCTTTGTGGCATCCTCTGGACTAGCACCAGGAGGTTCATGTCCTTCCTGTGCTGGGGACTCCAACCATTACTGACTTGCTTTTGAATTGTTACCCAAGATACAAACTAGCGAGCAGCTCAGTGGCTTTTCACTGGAGTCTTTTAGAGTTTGAGATCTTTGTTTTCAACACAGTTCTGCCTAAAGGACAACACCTCACCCTGCTGCAAAGAGGCAGCCAAAGGCATAAGAACCATTGCACACTGGAAGTGCTCTTCCAGAAGGGAATGTAACCCCAGGATCATATGCTCCTCCAGGATTTCACAGCTCTGCTCCCTACACCTTCAATGCATTAGCCTTTAGTTCTGAATATTCAAATGCTTTGGTAAAACAATCAGTTAACAATGATTTAAATAAGAGTTTAGGTTTTTTAATTATTAAATAAAAATTAATTCCTTTAATGGTTTCAATATTGACTTTTATAATACCTTTTCCTTGCAGAAGGATTAAAAGAACCTTTCATTTATTCTAGTATTTCTGTTTACTTTAATCCAAGTGGATTTTTTTCAACTCCCTCTTGGTGTATTAATTCTTTATTTACCTTTTGCACTTCTGATAGGTTTTATCTCTTTCCTCACACCCCTCATGAACCTTAAAGGGAAAAATGGAAAATCCCATTACTTCTAACAAACATCAGCTTCACCTCTGCTCACTGGACTGGGAACATCAGCTTAAGCAGGTCCTGCAGCCTGGCTATAGACCACCCAGTGTTGTAAAGAACAAGACATTTGGTTCCAGAGATGGCTGAAAATGCATCTGTGGGATTTCTGTGATGGTGATAAATCTGGGGTGGAAGCTGGGTCCATGATATCATTACTGGGGCCTCCTATTATGGGCTGAGCAAGAACTCAATGAGTACAACAAAGAGCAACCCCAGGGCTGCTGTAATTCACAGCAGACACCTGTAGATTGCTTTCAAATGACCCTCATCCATGTGCCATGTATATTAGGTCTTAGGCATGTTAGAGGCTATTTATAGACAGTGGAGGCACTTCCAGAGGTAAGATCTCAGGTGAACTGAATGGTCCCTCTAGGATCCCCTCTCTGACTAAGGCACTGCAATCCTGGGAAGGAGGCTGATCCAGCAAGGAGGGCAGCTTAAAGGTCAGCTTCTATCCAGCTCAGCTCTTGTCTCTGAACTAATGTTTGTGGGACTATGCTGAGGTTAGTGAAAAAGGCTGGAAAAGGTCACAGGCTGGAAGGAAGTCCCTGGTTTGCAGGCTGAAGGATAAGGCTGCAGGCAGCTGCAATGCTGAGGAGAGTGCAGCAGCATCTCTAATGTTTCCAGACAGAAATAGCTTCCCTGGTTGACCAAGAATGCAAAGTGAGGTCACATCTGACTGAAATCAGCTGTGTGGATGGGCTCTAAAAAGCTTTCTGTGGGAGGAGGAAGAGGACAAGGAGAGGAAATGACTTGCTCCAAGTCCATTGTTGAGTCAGGGAGATGACCTGCATGTCTGTTTTATTTAGTTTGGAGAGAGCTGGGGTAGAGAGTGAATCTGCTTCCAGCACAAGCATTATCCCCACTTTGCAGCTGGGTGAGGTGCAGAGGGGTCAAACCTTGTGCCCAAGGTTTCCTCTACAGGACAGTAGCAGAGCTGGGACTAAAATCAAGATCCCTGGTGTCTGCAGCTCTTGCCTTTGCTCCTACCACGTGTGTGACCTGCAAGTCAAAAGGTAATCATCTCTTACGTTGCTCTGGGAAGGTCGAACTTATGACAACTCTGGATATGGAACATGAGGTCTCCTCCATTGAGGTATTCCATCACAAAAAAGAGGTTTTCCTGGAGAATGAGACAAAATGACAATAAAGGGCAGGGAAGGGCCCTTTATTGAGATGAAAGTAAAAAAAAACATAACAAAACAAGACAAAACACAACAAAAAACCACCCAGAAAGCACTTGAAAAGAGGAAGGAAGAGGTTATAGTGAGGGTTTTGGAAAGAAAGCAGTTTCTTTTTCAGATTCCTCATTTCTCCTCTTTGTTCTCCAAACCTATACTCAGCCTCCCTGCTCTGATTTGTACAAACAGCATTAGTAAACATCACAAATCTCCTTAATAACCAGCTGGTGCCAATTCATTTTTACCAGCAGACCTCAAGGCTCACTAGCAGGGGATGAGTAACTCTGCAGTGCCTGTGGAACAGAAGGACAAGCTTCCTTGGGGACCAGTGGAAGAGGCAGAAGTAAATGGCAGGTCTCCTCTAATTCCCAGCCCAGTGCATTATCCATCCAGCAGAGTGATCTCAAGCTGGAGTTCCCAGCATTCAAATTAATCATATTTCTGGATGCTCACTGAGTGCTTGCATGTCAGAGAAGCCTGGAAAAAGACACAGTCCTTGTCCCTGAGCAGAGTTCAACCAGAACAGTGGAAAACTCTCCTCATGGCACACAGGAAGAATAGGGGGGATCTCTGTATTGAATGAGGAGCAGAACCAACCACTGAGGTTCCCTTTCAATGCTTCATGTACCCCACACTGATCCCCTTCTTGCTCCATGAGCTGTAACTTCAACACCACACCTCACAGAAGCTCTGGAGGCTAATTCAGACCAATCCTTTCCAGACTGAATTGCACCTACAAAGCAGTAGGAGTGCCTTTTTCTGGAAGAAGGGCATCTGTGCCATAAATAATGATGCCAGTTTACACTTCTGGTTTGGGAACCTCAGCTTTTGTGCAAAAATGTATTGTTTTTGTTCTCAAAACCCTCTCAGTTCTGTCCACATTTGAAGTTTGTCATCTCTGTGCTATGCTAAAGTTTATGAATGTCTCCCCTTTGTTGTATATTGCCCATCATAATTTTTTTTGAGGGGTGAACAGTGTTCTTTTCAGTTCTATTTTTAACATTTAAAGGAATAATTTTATCCATAAGGTCTAATGTAAGCATCCCTGGCAGCAAGCCAAGAGCTGTCTATTTTAAAAAAATAGTATTTTTTATTTCAAATAACAGCTGTCTGCTCTAATTTGTGCAATTTCTTTAGCCAGATCCTTTTAATTACAGTATTTAAATGGATATCTGGGCTGGAAACTCCACCTGTCATCCAACAACCACAGGGTCAGATTTGGCCTCTTGGGGAACTAATACAAATTTTGCCAATAAATTAAATGGGTGCAGGCCTTCAGTCTGAAGGTCTTGCATCTGCAGAGGTCTGTGCACATAAGTCAGTTTAAGCAAGTAAGGAGGCCAAATGAAGATGGGCAATTTAGTATAGAAATGCAAACATCTTGGGAGCAACATCAGCTCTGATGCCTGTTCAGGGCAACACTTGAACAGATGCTCTTTGTGAAGGTAAAAAGGGAGGTGATGAGGTTGAGCCAACAGACCAGCAGCCACAGGTATCACACTGGGACAGGAGAAACTTGATGGGTCTTCAAATGGGCCAGATTCAGCTTCAGTGGACTGGGAAAGTGAAAAGCCTTGGGTTTCCTTGGGGAGTTCACTGAGTTTGGCTCTACCTTAACACATATATTTAAGTGTAATTTGAAGTCCATGTTTATTCAGTGGAACAAGCAGTCATGCTCTGCTGACTTAAGGATTTGAGCAACCAGCTGATGCACCTATTTAACTGAACTGGGGGCTCTGACTTGAAACAGGGAACTGTGACAGCATCCTTCTGCCACCTGAGGAAAGAAAATGTGGACAACCTCTCAGATTAATTGGCATCCAAAGATTTGATGCACCTATTTAACTGAACTGGGGGCTCTAACTTGAAACAGGGAACTGTGACATCATCCTTCTGCCACCTGAGGAAAGAAAAGGTGGACAACCTCTCACATTAATTGGCATCCAAAGATCATTATATGAACTCAGTTGCCCACCTATCTAAAGCTATGAAGCTGAAGACTACAAACTTGACTTAGACATGATTAACACTGAAGTTCAAGATCTACCAGGTGCTACAAGGTGGTAGATAAACACTATTGAAAAGAAAGATGGTATCACTTTGACTTTTCTACTCTGACACTTGGAAGCTCCCTTTCCTTCTTACAAAGGTCAGTTGTCTGGAATGGCCCATGGAGAAAAATTGGTTGTGATTAGCTCTAAGTACATCATGAGTAGCAAGATGTAATCAAGCAGTGCAAGCTGCAACAAATTACTGGAGATATCTTCCTAAGCCTGAGATCTGTGGAGTCACAGAGCACATTAAAAAGGTGAAGTGGCAACACCCATGCTTGTAACCACTGAAAACTCAACAGTGTACTAGAGGTTAAAGGGTTAGAAGGGCATGGAGGTTGTGGACAGGTTTCAACCTACACTTCCTCTTGTCCTGGGAAAGTTACCTGATGGCTCCTGTTGGCTGCTGCCAGGCTCTGAAGTCTGTGAGCACCTGGAGCAGGTGAGAATGGGATTAGGGGTTATTTCTCAAGACACAGCAGCTGGGATGGCATAACTTTATTATTCCCTTATCCCCTGTGTTGGTCCTAGCTCAGGGATGTTAAGCAAACAAAAACAGGAACTCTGTTCCTCAGTGCTGAGACCTACACAGCTCTGAAGGAGGCTTGGGAAGAGGCCCTCACAGGATCACAGAGTGGCTGAGGTTGCAAGGGACGTCTGGAGGTCAAGTCCAACTTCCCTGCTAGAGCAGGATCCCCTTCAGCAGATTACACAGTAACATGTCCAGGAGGGTTTGGAATGTCTCCAGGGATGGAGATTCTACAGCCTCCCTGGGCAGCCTGTTAACAGTGCTCTGTTACCCTCAGAGTAAAGAATGATTTTCTTATATTTAGGTTAAACCTCCTGTTTACCAGTTTGTGACCATTACTCCTTGTTCTGTCACTGGACAGCACTGAGAAGAGTCTGGCCCCACTTTCAGAGTCTCTCAGTTCTTCCTACCTGTCTACCTTGCAGACAGATAACAGATGACTTGCTGACCACCTATGAGAGAATCCTCAGGTAGCAAAAGCTCAAGTAAAACTTCTGGCCATGGTTCCAGACTCACACAACAGAACAAGTCTGGGCTTAGGGCAGAGGTTGTGGCCACCTTTTACAAAGATAAAACTCAAAGACTGTAAAGACATTCCTTGCACTCAGCAATGGACACTGTCCTAGGGTACTTGGCACAAGTTATCTTGAGGACACCCATATTCCCTAGTTCTAGATGATCTACCAGAGGCTTTCTCCACTCTAACAGAGGGAACCTGATAAACTCTTCTGCAGAAGGACAAAATAATGCTCCTACAGCAGACAGAACTGTGCAACATGAGGCTATGGAGCACCCAGTTAGACATATATGGGTGTACATCCTGCACACAAAGCAACATGTTTCCCTAGTCATAGAATCATAGAATGGTTTGAGTTGGAAGGGACTTTAAAAATCATCTAGTTCCAACCCTACTGCCATGGGCAGGGACACCTCCCACTGGACCAGGACTCAATCCAATCAGGTGCTGAAAGACTTGATTACTGCAAGAACTCAGTTTCTTGAGTCCCTCAGTGCCTGTGCTGAGCTGAGCTCCTCCCTGCAGAATGACCTGCTGTCCTGCTACACCTGCCCTCTCTGCCTCTCCAGAACATGGCAGGGATGGAGTTAAACCAACCTGCTTCTGTTCTGCATGCAAAGGCTTTCAGACTGACTAGTCACTATCAGAGATGCTTTCAACTTTATAAACAATGGGTATAAAGTAGGCAGCATTTAAATTGGATCTTTTGAAGGTACATCCTGTAACAGGCTCTTAAAATCCTGAAACCAGCTGGAAGTTCTCCAGAGCACTTTTCTGCTGAGTTTTTCAGATTTTGTTTTCTTTGCATTTGAAAGCACTTGCATACATACACATACACAATTTAACACCACCTACTGAAGAGAAAAAATTCTTCTTCCCAGGGCTTCCAGGAGGATGAATACTGGAATAATTAAAGCTGAAAGGACAATGTGGCTTTTGTTTTATTTAGAGCAGCTATCCTAGCAAATGACTCCATGTGGAGAAGACTCCTCAATGCATATGAAGTGACTTAACCCCACTGGATGCTCACTGAATCAGGTTGGCCTGTGCCAAGAGAAAGGTTCCACACCACACAATTCCTGCAGCTGATTCTTCCCAGTCTGGGTGCTCATCTGTGCTTTGCATCTGTTTTATTTCATGTTCCAGATGGGAGCCAAAGACCTCTTAGCCCTTCAACACCAGTGAGTGTTGCAGTCCCATCATGGCATCTCATCCAGTGGGAAAGCAAGCAGTGCCCATGCCCCTTACTGGGCCTGCTCTCATGAGAACAACTAATGCAAGGTTACCCCTTGCTAGTAGGTGACCAAAGTGACCACAGGAGGTATTAACATTGCTATTTGCACCATCTGGGGATGAGCAAAGCCAATTTGGTACAGATTAAGGCAACTGCAGGTTTAATTTTGTTCTCTGGTCTAAATAGTTCTTTCTCTCTCTCTCTTTTGTAATAGCAGCCTGTCTGCTGGAGATGGCAGCATTCCTCACAGCTGTCAAATCATCCAGTCCAGTCCCTGAGCTCATGATTAATTTTTGTTCTAACCTTTGCACTGTCAGCATTTTTGACTGTGTGTTAAACTACCCATTTGGGATGCTCAGCTTTATGTGTCCAGCTCCTTAGTCCAAAGCATATGAATACATTTCTACACATATATAAAAATACATATGTGTACATAAAGGTGCAGAGAGGGCTGGGAATAGCAGCTTTCACTTGAGCTCTGATATCCCAGGACCCTTCCTCACAGCTCAGAGCAGGCAGTGTACACCATTCTGGTGACCTGAGTTACTGTCAGCCTTGTTCTTGCTAGAGAAATTGCCTTTCCCTATTGGAGTTGAGTGGGATCTTGGAAA